GCCATGGGGTGAGGAATGATATTTCTTATGGTCTCTTTTTTTGCATGCATGGTGACTCACGAAAGGAATGGTGCCATCTCATACACGTATGCACGTTGCGTTTATGTGTATGTATATATACCTCCTTTTTGACCTTTTCCTGCTTGCTTGGGGTGTTTGTGCCGGCAACAATTCCACCGCAATAGAAGAAGCATAGGAAAGCCTCACGTGTAGCAAACAAGGTAAAAGGCTGGTGGGCTGACGAACGTGAATTCCACAAATTTTTGTTGTTGTTCTCGTTGTCCATAGCTTAAGTTCCATTTTTGTTGGTAGAAGACGTTTTGGCTGCACTGAAGGTGGTGTTGTGTTGATCCGGTCTTCGTTCATTTGCCCCCTCCCGCAGCTCCGCCTTCCTTCAACGACGGCGCGTATATCTTTTTTCTCCTCTTTTGGTGTAAAAGAAATACGACTTTTCAGAGGCAATGGACGTCAACTGCACATTGATTGAGTGCAAGGATAGAAGGGACGTCTCGAGAACGTTGTTTAATCTGCTGATTTTGGATGCCCCGTCACCCAGTAACTTTCCCACGTACATCAAGGCACTTCAAAGGCGTCATGTGCGTCATCTCGTGCGGGTTTGCGGTCTGACATACGACGCCACACAGCTGGAGAAGAACGGGATTGATGTACACAGCTGGCCTTTTGACGACGGGGCTGCACCGCCAAAGTCGGTGGTAGAGAGTTGGTTTCAACTCCTCGACAAGGAGAAGGAGAAGCTGCTTTCTGGTGCCTCCACGCAGCCTGCGTCTATTGCCATTCATTGCGTGGCTGGTCTTGGCCGTGCGCCCATACTCGTGGCTCTGGCGCTTGTGGAGTACGGCGGCATGGAGCCTCTTGACGCCATTACACTCGTCCGCGAGAAGCGACGGGGTGCCATCAACCAAACGCAGATGCAGTGGCTTGCAAAGTACAAGGGACGCAGTGCGGCGGGTGGTGGGTCGAGCGGTGGATGCATCGTCATGTGACACGTGTGCGATGACGGTTTCTGTGGGTGCCATCGACTGAACTCTTTATATAATTTTTTTTTTTCTATTCTCCTTCTTCTTCTCCTGCGGCTCACTCTCCCTGAGTGAGTAAGAAGGGAGTAAAAGCAACAGCCGCAAGGAGCAGTGTAAGATGCGGGGGAGGAGAAAAAGAGGAAAAAAGCAAAAGGGGGAAATGATGGGATGGCCGATGTAAAAGAAAAAGAAAAAAAAAAAGATGGGGGAGGGAAATAAACGTAAAAAAAAAAAAAAAGGAGTCCAGAAATATATTTTGAATTGGTAAAACGGAAGGGCGGGGGAAAAGGGAATAAATAAAATAAAATAAAAAATAAAGGAGCGAAGAATAATTTTTTTTCTTCTATTTTTTTTTCTTTTTTTTTTTTTTTTTCCTTGGAACATTTGGGCCTTTGCCCTCAGCGTTGGAGTTGACATCACTCCGCTCCCCAAAGTGCGGGGACGCGGCTCTCAAATGAATGCATGGAGAGAAGAAAAAAAAGTCATTTCTGCGTGCATTCCCACATGCAAACTCCTTCCACCGCACACACACACACACACACACGTACCCACAGAAGAAAAAAGGGCAGGTCGGATTGAAGGGGAAAAAAGAAATGACGAAAAAAAGGAAGGAAGGAAGGAAAGAAACAAAAGGCCTTATCGCTCAAAAGAACACACGCGCTTTATGCAATAATCCAGTAAAAATGAATGCATGGCGTGCTAACAGTGGATCAGATGACATATGTATTTTTTTTTGTTTTTGTTTTGAGAAATAAGTAAGTTATGAAATTGCGCCTTTTGATTGTTTTTTTTTTTTGGCGCACGCGTGTGGCATCGCTGGCACGCACATTTTTTGTGTGTTCTCCCATTTGTGTTGCCGTTTTTTTTTTTTTTTTACTTTTTATTGTTTAGCTTTAATCAGCCGTGCAAGTACATCATGGCAATAAGGCTCCACCGCCCGCCTTCTTCTTCATGAAAAAACAGCGAACAGGGGGAGGTGATTGGTGGAGTTGACGTCCTTGTCTCATTTTTTTGCCTTTAAAAGCGGCTGTTTCTGGTGGAGGAAATTCAAACTTGTTTTCGTCTCTTTAGTGGCGCATTTGAGTTTTGTCGCGAAGACGCATACGAAAAGTGACGGGGGTTTTGTTTTGGCCGCAGTATGGCGAAGGAGTCCAGCACGAGGCCTGCCGCAGCCGTCGTTGCCCCTTGCGCTCGGAAGGAAAAGGAAGTTGACATGACGGTGGCGTAGGAAGCACCGAGGAACAGCTTGATGGACTTCGCGGAGTGGGAGAGGCACGAGTCACAGTTTGTTGGATCCGAGTATGAAGAGAACTTGAAGGTGACGTGGCGCCTGGCATGTGTCGGGGCGAAACATGCGGGGACGCACGAAGGAGCACCGGAAAAAAAAAAGGTGAAGGGCATCATATTTTGTTGAAAATTATACGAGAACAAAAATGTCTTACAAATGTAGTCTTTTTTTTTTTTTTGGACGATGCCTCTGTTGCTTCATACGTCTTTCCGTTTATTTTATTTTATTTTATTTTTTGTAGTGGTGGACGGATTTCTGCCGTGTGCGAATGGCAGAAGAGTACTTCCACACGTTTGTTGCTGGAACATTTTCTGGAGTGGTGGGAGTACTTCTGGAATACCCGCTTGACACGATCAAGGTCCGTTTGCAGGCTTACGGCTCGCTCTACAGGGGATATTGGGATTGTGCAGCAAGGCTTTTGAAGAACGAGGGCATGCTTTCTTTTTACCATGGGGTTTCAACACGCTTTTTAGGCTCCGGTTTTGAGCACGCTGTTGTTTTCTCCTTTTACAAGTGGACCCTGCGACGGGTGGGTGCGGATGAATATCATCCGCTTGCTTGGCAAATATTTCTTGGCGGCGTTGGCGGTGGTGTGGCGTCAACGGTATTTTTAACACCACTGGAGCTTGTCAAGTGCCACTTGCAGGTGGCAAACATGTTGCCGGCAGGCCAGCGGGAGTACCATGGCGTCACAGATTGCACGGTTAAAATTTTGCGTCGGGGTGGCGTGACGGCGCTGTACAAAGGCGGTGTTGCGATGTTGGCCCGTGAGGTGCCGGGTACTGCTGCCTACTGTGGCACATACGACAAGATGAAGGAATTTCTGACGCCCTTAGGAGGCTCGACAGCGGAGTTGTCGCCATGGCGGCTCATGTTTGCTGGAGGCTGCAGCGGTGTGGCTTTTTGGACCGTCTTTTTCCCTGCAGATGTTGTCAAGACTCGTATGCAGGTAGACCCCGTTTTTTCACGATGGAGTTTTGGAAAGGCGCTGCGCGTGTTGTATGCTGAGGGTGGCATGCGTGCTCTGTATTGTGGATGGTCTCTCACTGCTGTTCGCTCCTTTCCATCCAATGCTGCAATATTCGCGACGTATGATCTCACCATGCGTGCCTTTACGAACCAACAGCGGAACACAAATTCCGCAGCAGGTGCAGTGTGAGGATAAAATGTACTTTTGTATTGGTTGGATGCACGTGAAGTCTTTTGCTTTGGTAAAAAGAAAAATATGAGTTGCCTTGCAGTGCATTGGGGTCCTCTTCTTTGCGCGTGGCTGAGTGGGTCTCTTCTTGTGGATTTTATTTGGTCTTCTTGTTCTCCGCGTTTCATAGAATCCGCTGTTTTATTAAGAATTGATTTTTTGTTTTTGTTTTTGCGATTGGTCAATACAACACCCTTCACTTTTTTTTTTTCTGCCGGGCCATCACAAAAGGGAGCGGAGTGGGCACTGACACACACACACACACATATCCATATAGATATCTACATGCCCAAAAATACGGCGAGGAAGCGCAGTCGGGCGTGGCAGAATTCACCCAACGAGAAGCGCAAAAGGGGAACTTGCATCAAAAGTGGACTGGGGGAACTGGGCGATTTGGATGCTGTTGCGCCTACAGGCACCTCTGGAAGGATCCGTGCCGACGTTTCAAACACGAAGGCGGTGGGTTCTGCGTCGGCGGAAGGGGAGTTCGCCTTTTCTACTGCACCCTTTTTGTCCTTTTCCCGCTTAGCGCCGAGTGTGTTTGGACACGGGTGGGATGAGTGGAAGCGTGTGAAGCAAATGCTATTTGATCCTCAGGACGGGACGGGCCTGACAGAAGCTAGGCGCAAGGCATTGAACCGCATCCAACTTGTGTGGAAGGCACGTGAGCGTAAAAACCGGCAGCTTCCGGCGTATGCGGAGGCCACAGCGCTTCTGATGGAGGCTTTTTCACTTGACGAAGGAGATCAGCTTTCGTCTTCGGGTGCTGTTTCTTTTTATGGTGCGGCGATATCACGTGCGGTGCATCTCATGACAGGCAGTTTTGCTCGTGGGGCGGCGGACACTTACAGGAAGCGGGCTCGACTGATTGGCTTTCCCGAGGAGGCGGTGGAGGTGCGGCAACGTGTGGCGCACGGTGCCCTGCCCCTTCTGTCTGAGCTTCGGTGGGTGTGTGGGCTTGTGCTGCAGTTTTTGTTTCACCACTACTGGGTGGAGCAGGAGCGTCATGTGCACCTCATTGAGGAAGAAACAGAGGGTGAGGAGGACAACACGACGTCCGGACATGGGGTTCAACAGAGTGCCCCAAGTACCACAGTGGAGGAGATGCGGCAAATACTTGAGGATCTTAGCGACGTTGGTGAAGATGTCACCGATTACTCTAATGACCGTGTTGAATTCCTGCAGGATGGCTGGCAATTGTGCTGAGAATAATGGAGAGAGAATCCAGATGTGAGTGTGAGTGTGTGTGTGCGAAGAAGGCGACTCTAACATTGTTGTTAAGGAACAAACTGCTGCGTTTATTTTTTTATTTTTTCTTGTATTTGCCTGTGCGTGCAAGGCTGGTTGTGCGGGGGAGTGAGCAATGGAGAGAAGAAACTTTTTGACTGAAGGGGTGATTGACCCCTTTCTCATTTTTTTGAGACCCATCTCTCTTTCTTTCTTTCTCTCTTTTTTTTTTTTTTGTGTGTGTGGACGTATGTATGCGTATTCTTTTTCGATGTGGAGAACAACAACAACAACAACAAAAAGGGTACTTGTGAAGGAGTCATCGTCACTGCCAGCATCAGGGACAGTGGAGGGTCGTGGCTGCAAGCATAACTCCTCGGAGTATCATTTTATAATGGAACTTGTTGCCGAGCTTCCGGGCCGTCTCTTGACAGGCCTGGCGTTAGATGCAAACGACGACGTATTTGCCGTATGCGCGTGCAGCGGAGAGCTGCTTCGTCTCAACAAGACGAACGGCACGATGATTCCCATCATGGCGACGGAGACTTCGCCACATGCTCTCGCCATCGATCCCCGCAACGGTGATGTATACCTCACCGACCGCAGTGAGAACGCCATCCTGAAGCTGGAGGCGGTACCAAATGCCAAGGGGCATGCTGAGAAGGACGAGAAGTGCGACAATGATCGTGGTGAGGTGGATTACACTGTTGTGCGCTACCTGAACAGCTTTGAAAATAGACAGTTTGTGGGACCGACAGCTCTCGCCGTCGCACCGGACGGTGAGTTGTTTTTTACCGACGCCGGGGCAGAGGGTGACTCGTCGTTTGCCGACCCGGTGGGCGCCGTCTTCCGCACGCTGCAGGGGCACAGCCAAGTTGTTCCACTCTGTCGTCGTGGTCTCATACGCCCGACGGGAATTGCCGTGACAAGCGACAAAAGCGTGTATGTCTGCGAGCAGGGCACCAACCGCGTCCTTCGGTTTGTGCTTCGAGGGACGTACTACATTGGAAGTGTCTTTGCGCAGCTGCAAGGGGGAATGGGCCCCAGCGCCATCGCCGTTAGAAAAAGTGACGGCTCCATTTTTGTGATCCAGTACGACATGAAGGGATCTTCATCGTCATCCTCACCCAATGAAGGCGCTGGCGGCATCATTACGGTCATTGGGAGGGATGGCGAGGTGAGCGGCATTGTGCGCACAACGTGCCCATCTCTTTGCGCCATCGCTCTGGACTCACGAGAGGAGACGATCTACGCGGTGGAAGCGGACGAGGCTTCGGGGGGCTCAAGACTGCTCCGCTTTCGACTCTCCCCGGAAGCGCAGCAGGTGACGGAGTGAGTTGGGGCGGCAGCCGCGGATCGTGGGGGACGTGTGTGGCCCGTGAGTTCTTCGTCCCTTTGGGTGTGATGTAGAGAACGACCAGAAACACGTAACGAGGACGGCAGTGGCGGTGGTGGGGAACGTGTGGTTTGTGCATGCGGACTGCGTTTTTGCTGCCGTGTGAGTAGTTGCGGGGAGGGCCGACGTTGCCTCAGTTGTCTTTTTTTCTTTTCTTTTTTTTTTTTCTTTTTCTGTACAGTGAGAATAGTTCTGTCGATGGTGAAGCACAATGTCCTGAGCAACAGGCCGCACCACCGAACCAACAGCCATCATCGCACCACCCGCAACGACCGCCCGCCACGTCACGGGCAGCCCCACGCAAAGACGAGGGGACACCCCGGCGCTCGCTCGAAGGCTCCAATAGTCGTGGATGATGGCACGATTCCCGCCGCTTTCATTTCGCCCTTTCAGGCATCTCAGCCGCAGGCCGGGCAGCACTCCGCCACGGTTGTCAGGACATCCGTCTCGGGCCCGTCGCAGCAGCAGATGCTGTTTTACTCCAGCGTGCAGCGCCGTGGGGGTGTCTTCACAAAGTCGGAGTATGAGACGAAGGCGCAGCTGGCACGAACGGGTGTCCTTCCCAACTCGATTGCGTACCGCAAACGAGCCCGGATCGCGATGGAGGAAAAGACAGGGAAGCCCCAGACACTGCAGGGGCGTTTTGCCGAAATGCAATCGGAAAAGGTGCAGGAGGATGTGCGCCAGGCGAAGGCGCTTGTGGTGAAAAATACAAATGCGAATCGCTTTGCTGTGGAAGAGAGCGAGAGTGACGAGTTGTAGGAACTTTATTTTGCTTAAAACCTCTGATAATTTCATGGAAATTGCTTTCATGTGCAATGTGTGGGTGTTGTTGATTTTATGCATTGCTGTGGTTTTATTACTTCTCTCCCTCTTTCTCTCCCTTTTTTCTCTCGTTGCCCCGAAGTGAATACGCACATATACATATATACCCACACCAGGCATTTGAAAGGAACAAGGGGTTTTGTATTTACGGAGGTGAAGGGAGGAGGAAGTTTTTCTTTGGCACCGTTTTGGGCGTGCCCGACACGTGTGTATTTTTTTTTTTTTCTACAGAGACATCATTTGAAAAATTAGGAAGCGGGTGAAGTAGCACAACCGCAGTAAGCTCTGCCTTGACCTTACTGCTATATTTGTTTGCTTATTTGGTCAAATCCTTTTTTTTTTGTTTTTGTAGGATCATCTTTTTCTACCACTACCTGAGGTTTGTTGTGGTTATTATTATTATTTTTAGCCCAAGTACAATAAAGGAGGTAGCGGACCATTACGCATCTTACCGGGGAGCGTCTCGGTTATCAGCGCACACGAGCTGGGGAAAGAAGAAACAAAGAGAGAGGGGTGGAGAGGTGACGTAAGGCGGAGGCAAAGAACACAAGCTGCAATGGATTTTAAGGCGACGGATTTTATTAAGTTACTCTTCTCCGTCATTTTTCTGTTTTTGTGTTGTCTCTTTACGATGCTGTACACGCACAAAATATTGGGGTTTGCCGTCCAGCTGTTTCTGCGGTACTGCATTTTGTCGTCAACAGCGCGTGTGCGTCTCGGCAGCATATTTATCGCCCCACTGAGTTGCCGCATATTTGTCCAGGACTTCTTCTACCAGGATGAGAACCTGTCGCTTCGCCTCATGGACGGGTACGTCTCTTTTTGCTTCTGGGACTCGTGGTTGGAGGACCCGTCATGGACGGTCGTGAAGGAATTCATGTTCGATGATTTGAAGGGCGCGCGCTGCAGAGTGAAGGTGAAGAAGGAGTGGGTGCAGGGCGTGATTGTGGATGTACTGCGGGATGAACGGGCGGTGCGGGTGCGACTCGAGGGAAATGGCAGTGAGATGGCAGAGGACGCACCGTTCGTTGAATTGGATGTTGGCAATCGCGCCGCTGTGGCACCGTTTAGGGAGGTTGATGGTGTGAATGGAGACACGCTTCTCTCCACAGCAGACTACGTTGGTCCCCACGGCAATCATGACGAGAGCAACGACAGGGATTTTTCTCCGTGGACGCAAATGGGGCAGGAAGGCCCACAATTCGCCTTCAATCAAAATGTAGATTCCAACTTTTCATCTGTAGTGGATTGTGGAGCTCAATGCGAACGAGGGGAATCAAACCAAGATACTGGCGAAGTTCATGATAATGATGGCGTTTCCACAAGTTTATTCAATATAGACATTGTGCAGATACCACAGAGCCGTGGCAAAGTCCGTGTGCACTTGAACGGCTTGGGCCTCTGCTTTTATAATGCCACATGGAACTACAGAAAATTGGCACCAAGTGAAGGCGCTTCTGAAAATTCTCACGAAGTGACGCATCGTCCTTCCCTGCATGGTTGGACCATGAGAGGTTTTCTTAGTCGTCTGTTGAAGGCGCGGGATAGGAATCAATCAAACGAGGACGAAGGTATGAGGATATTGACACGTGGTGACTCGGATGGGAGTCAAACCTACAGTGATGAGTCGTTGACGAGGGCGTTGGAGGAACAGCAGCGTTTGAAGAACACAAAGAGCATTGTACAGCGTTTGTTTGACTTTATTGGTGCCGTGGAGGTTGAGATGTACGGAAGTTACGCCGATATTGGTGGGGCCGGTGCTGCACACCCGTACTTTTTGCACTTTGGTTTCAAGCGTGGGGAGTGTCACAGTTACTTGACGATGGATGGCATGCCCAGCATTGACCTCTACCGCTTTGTTACAGAAATGACGCTGGAAGAGGTGCATGCGCGCTGGTGCCCCATGAAAAAGGAGAAGGAAGACAGGAATATTCCTCTCCACAAGGAGAAAAAGAACTCCTGGGGTAAATCGCTTATGATGATGGTTAGGGGCACGCCCTCAAATGAAACGCAAGGCCTTGTTATTGATGAGGCGTCATCACTCATTCGTAACTACGGCATGCTCCTTAACGGCAAGGAGAACTCTACCATACACATCGTTTTCTATCGCGATGTGACAAATGTTTACGCGGGCGAAGAGGTGAGCCGCGAGGTGGAACTACCGCACATGGGGTTGGAGGTGCTCCTTGACGTCCCTGAAATTTGCTACGGCCCGTGGTCCCACTACTCGCTTATGGAGTTAAAAAACTTCTTTTTGCCGTTCACATACAAGCCGCTTGAGTCATTGAACTTTGAGCTCAGCAAACCACGTCCGCTCGCTGGTTTGGAGCTGCTTGTGGAATTTCTTCGTGACACGTGTGTGACGGTGCCGTTTAAGCGAAAAGCACCTTGCCCTTCGCCGCCCTTTGGCATTCGTGACTCGGGACGCAAGGGGGTTATACTCATGACATTGGGCCGCGAGTCGCAGTACATACAAAAGCCGCAGTTTCTTTTAAGTGGTGAGAATAAGCTGTGGTTTGAGAGTCTCTTTTCAGGGAGAAATGTGTCACTGGCTACAAACGGCATTCAAGAAGAGAGCACGTTGCTTGCGCGGATGAGTACAATTGAACTCTTCATTGACAGGGAAGACGATCGCGTGTACACGGGGCGGAAACTATGGAACGTGCTGCCTTCCTTTGGCGAGCTGGAGGTGTGGTGGTACATGGACCACGTCGAATTCTTCATGGACCTCATTACGGATTGGCAGTTTGTGGCTGAGATGTACCACGGCGTGCCACTGACGACGGAGATTTACAACACGTACAGCCGGTTCGTGACGGAGTTCAGCCCAAATGTGAAGCGGATTGAGTTATTTTTTACAGCTCCCGCTATCTTGCATTTGAACTGCAACCCACAGAACGTCGTCTTCAGCGAGGACCTGAATGAAGAGTCCCTCAACAGTTTTATGAACTTTTACATCAACGGCACGGGCCATTTGTTTATTACACTGCCAAATGACACGTACTTTTTGAGTGCGTCAACGGAGGTGCAGCGCCCCTTTGAGATGATCTTGCGGGATGTTGATGTGAGCTTGAGCCTCCCGCCGACACATCCGCTGTACAGACTCGTGGGTACCACAGAGCCGTTTGCACGGGCCGATGAGATCTCTCTGAGGGGGTTGCAGAACGTGTACATACCGAACCAGACGGTGCCACAGGATAAGACACCAGTGGATCCTGCAACAGGCAGAACGAAGCTTCTCAATCATCTTCACATGGACATTCAACTAACCGGCCTGCGTGGGTTTCTGATGTCTCCGCATATTTCTTCTTTTATTGAGTTGATCGATAACCTCTTTGGTGATTCGCAGTGTGTAATCCGACCTGAAGAGCTCTTTTGGCCACTTTCTAAGATTCAGCCCAAGCTAGATGTACCGAAAAACGTGCGTCGGAGGTTTAATGCTTACTTGCAGAAGGACGAACCACGTTGTACTATTCAGGAACTCAGCATGACTCTCAATATCTTAGACATGGACGTCACGCTAAGAAGTGGCGAGGAGAACTCACCCAAGTTGAATCTTTGCGGTGCCAAATTCAACTTTTCCTTCATCAAACAGTGCGCCTCAACTGACATGAGCATCACAGCTACTCCGATCACTGGACGTTTTTTTGAACAGGATGGAGACAATCTCGTGGAAGGGTCATTCCTTTGCCTGGGAGAAATTAAGATTAGCTCTATCCAGCACTTCGGACCAATGCCCATGCGGACACCTTTTCACAGGGCGATGAATATAATACTTGACGGCATCACATTTGAGGTGACTGTGGAGCAGGTGGCAATGCTGACGCAGCTACTGAACACGCTAATGCGACAGTTCCCTCTGCGTGATGCGAGACTTCTGCGGGAGATTGAAACCGCGAAGACACGGGCGGCGTACTCTGCACAGCACCTCATGCCGCAGTCGGCGCACCCGCGGCGTAAAACCATCAGAATACTTCCCACGGAGGATGACATTTTGCCGTTTTCTCGCGTCCGGAGTGAAGGCTGTACGAGAAGGAAGGGATCTGCTACGCTCAATAAGATCACGGATGCGCGGTTGGCACTGGAGCGATTTCTTGCCCGCGACGGTCCCATTT